AATCATTCACATACAGTAAGAAGAGGATGGAAAAATGGAAAAAGTCTAGTTCTTTTATAAAAATAGTAGAAATGTTGTGTACAGGCAACAATGAATTACAAGCAACCTCCACGTTAAAGCCTCTGAGGTACACTGCATATCAGTGGTGAACCATGACTAACAGAGCTAGGCCTTTAGTTCAGGCCATAAATGTAAAAACTCTGCCAAAAACAAGAAACAAAAGTCATATTTACAATAATGCTAATTTCTAATAGCACCCCTCATATAATTTGAATAGAATAGAATAGAATAGAATGCCTTTATTGTCATTGTATAAAATATACAACGAAATGAAGAGTACTACTTTTAATCAGTGTAAACAAACACAGAAAACACTCCAAGACAGACAAACAAGTTAAGAAATGTACAAAAATAATAATTTGTAAGTGTAAAAAAGAAATAAGGGACTAAAATATTGCACTAAAATGTAATAATAATATAAAATTATTAAAAGAATAAAAAGTGCTTTTACTAATAAGCTAAACTCAACAGGTGCCAGACATCTTTCCATGTCATTTTGGCCCATTTATTTTCGTCCATTCATCATGACATTTACAGGACAACAGGCACTTCCAAATTATGTCAGAAACTGAAAAATGAGGTTTTGTTCCGACAGCAGCGATATGCTTATTCCAGTGTTTGCTTCTCTTAGAACTTAGTATTTGTGGTATTTAGAGTCCTGATGGCTCAGGGAAAGAAACTAAACTTAAATCTGTTTGTCTGGCTTTTAATGTGCCTGCACCGTTGGCCAGATGGCAGGAGATTGAACAGTTGGTTACCAGGATGGTAAAGCTCCTTGGTTATTTTCCTGGCTCTGCTGAGGCGCCGTGAGCTGGAGATGTCTTTCAGAGAGGGCAGAGGGCAGCTGATGATTTTTTTTTTTGAGCAGTATTGATGACCTTCTGTAGAGTTCTCCTATCGGCTACTGAGCAGCCAGCATACCACACTGTAATGCAGTGCACCAGTACACTCTCTATCCAGGAGCGGTAGAAGGCCTCTAGCAGTCTAATGCTAAGCTAACAGCGATTTCCATGATCATTTTTTTGCTGCCTTAGATAAACTCGGACATTTGAATCTTTAAAAATCATTCCATTATTTTATATGGAGCTTCTGAGAGACATATTAACTTATAGTTTACCTTGTATGTAGCAGTTTCAGTGCCTCTTACAGTAAAAATCTGACACAGAGCTGCTGTGGTCCATTTCTAACAACTGACTAAGGTTAGACTACCACTATTATTCACGGTCACTGATGTATCAAGGACTGTCAAAAGGCCCAGAGTGACCTTTTTCTCTTTACATTGGTCCTACACATTGTAAATAAAACAGAATTAGCTGATCGCCAATCTTATCTTATTTATTGATCTTATTTATTTTAATATTGCCATATGCTATTGTTTTACATCTTTTATTTCTTTATTTATTTCAATAATTATATTTTTTATTTATCCTTATTTTAGCTCATTTATGAAGTCACTATATTGTTATTTTAACGGTTTATTGATTTTTTTTTTTTTTAAATGTACTATTACTATTACTACTTTACTATTCTACTATTCAACTTCTCAATCCCTGATCTCTGTATTGGCTCGGCTACATTGTGAATGAGGATCTAATAAGCTAAACTCAACAGGTGGCAGTAGTCCTCATGTCTTATATCGCTGCTGTTGGATCAAAACCTCATATCTCTGAAATAGTAAATTTACAGGAGAAGGAAAAAAGCATACCTTACTTTTAATGTAAGTCAATGGAACCAGACATCTTTCCATGTCATTTTGGGTCGTTTCTTTTGGTCCATTCATCATGAAATTTACAGGACAACAGGCACGTCCGAATTATGTCAAAAACTGAAAAATGACAAAATTACTATTTTACTATTACTACTTTACTATTTTACTATTCAACCTCTCAATCCTTGATCTCTGTATTTGTTCAGCTACATTGTGAATGAGGGTCTCCCTCAGTGTACTCTGAGTTTAAATAAAGGTTGATTGATTGATTGATTGATTGATGTAATTAAATAAAAGTTTGTAACTTAAATTACAGACATATGTTTTGCTTCACAGACATCATTAGGCCTTCTCCGATGACCTAGAACTCCCTGAGGGAACCTCACTACTGCATATGATACGTAATTATACTTTCATAGCAGTTCCAACCATGTAGAAGTGACAGGAACGAAACCCAAGACAAGTTCTTTATTCTTTTTGCCACTCGTTCACCTTTGCACCCCTGATAAAAGTGTGTGTTACCTTGTAACCAAGGCAAGTATCTGTCCCCAGACAGGTGGCCAGCTTGGTCTAAGCGACTCTGAGCTCTGTGTCCGTTTGACAGGCGTCCCAGAGAGAGTGTCCGCGCTGTCCACTCTGGCTCCGCTCCTCTGTCTGTGACCACTAAATCAGGCGGCTCAGTGGCTCCAACCTGCCTGTGTTTCCAGGAGCAGCGGCATGCCAGCCATGGCTCGGATTCTTTAGGAGAAAAGTGGCATTTCGTTCAGTGGTGAGTGGCCCAAGCCACAGGGGAACAACCCCCACTGCTCTCTATCTGTCTGTCTGTCCCTCTCTCTCTCCTCCTTGTGCTGAGCATGCTGAGCAACTGGAAACAGGTGACCCTCATACCCCCCCACCCCCTCCCCAGACTGAGCCCTATGCTGGCACGGCGCCACCTCGGCGTGCAGCTGGCCGGTGTCCACCTGCCAATAAACAGATATATATACGAGGAATTTTCCATGCACCATTTCAAATGGGAAACATTGTGGGTTTTATTTAGACTCGTAAAATTCTCCCACCACTCAGCTGCTCTCCAAATAGACATATTAATTAGCTAAAGAAAAAGGGGAGCTGTGGAGGCAGGATCCTCGTTAATGACAAGTGGGGTCACATGGCCGCGTGGTCCTCCGTCTATTGTGCCGTCCTTTCCATACTGAGAACTTATACGCTCACTGCCTAAATTAAGGAATCTTACGTATGTACAGCACAATCAAATATAGCATGCTGGTGGAGCTTTGGTATGGGTGGGGTTCCACATCTACTGGTGTGAATCCCCAGTGGGGCTCTGTGATAAAAAGAAATGGATCAAGGGTCTCTAAAACAGCAGTGGAAAGTCTCTCAACACACCACTCCATGAGCATGTGGGTATCTTTGTTCCAGTTAACCTGGACTTGTTGCATTTTCCCGAATCTAATGCACCTGATTCAACGAATGAGCTCATTATAAAGACCAGCCTGGCATGGGTCATGTGACTTAGATCAGGGAATACCATAAACGTGTGGTTAGCGTGGCTTCCTTAGAGCTCGGATTGGAAAAAAATGGTGTTTCGTACCATGTTGGAGAACAAGGAGCTGCCAATTTATTACCTACAATCATTGGCCATTTTATCAGAAACATTTACCATATAGGTTCACCTTGTAGGTTTACTATTAGAGACTGTAGCACGTCTTGCCACACAATTTATCAGCCCAACTCAACCCCAGCCATCAGCTGACCATGACATTGGATCAAGATGACCAGAGGAGAATTCTGTGTTTACATGTTGGTGGTAGACAGACAGCAAACCTTGTCGTTTTCAATGCAGTGATACAGCAAGATGAGTCATCCTTCACCATGCTCTCCTCGAGTGAGTGAGAGCATGTGTGCCGTACATCGAGGGTACAGGCCTGAGCTTGACCCCATAGTAAGTGGGCCAGTTGAGGCAGAGTTATGCTGTGGGAGGCATTTTGCTTATATGGTTTATACACTTGACAAATCATTTCTATTCTGATGGGAGCAGCCTTTTCCAGAATGATATACATATCTACCTACATGCACTTCTTTAGTTTACAGCAGGAGATGCTGGCTAACAAACACTGGACATAGACTGTCAGCAATCTTTTTTCTCTAAATACATGCAAAAGTCGTAATTTATTTGTTCCAAAAGTTGATCAAAAGGCCATATAAACAAGTTAAAAAACATAGACAGACCTTATTCAAACATTTAAGCTAAAGAGAACTACATTATCATCCGTATAACCTCCTGCTCTGTAGTGCTACTCTGCTTTCGAACTGGACTGCATGGGACGTGTTGTATGTCAAAACATCATTATGCAGGTATCACACTGGTTTGTTAGCATAGCTAAGGCTTCATAACTGTAAGAGAGTTAACTAGAAGTGGATAATTTCTTTTTTTTGCCAAATGATTGCTTTCATCTGCAGGGCACTGGATGGTTTTATGAGTATGAATATGATGTAAATCATATATTAAGGCCTTTGCAGTTACCAGGGCTCAACACAGTTGAACATCTATAGGCTTGAAAAATCACCAAAGGGATTGACAGCCACTCTGTATATACAGGGACATTTCACAGTGAGTCGCCAATGGATTATCTTGTACCTACACATATTTGGCCATTTTATCAGAAACACCTGTCACTTTTTGAAAAGAAATCTGCAGGAATATTTTTCCAGTTCAGTCTTAGAAGTTGCTTGTATTTTCTGCTTCTAATAGCAAGTCATCTCAAACACATTCAGTGGTGTTGAGGTCTGGACTCTGGGGTGGTCAGTCCGTTGTTCAGCTTCTTTGTTTGATGTGTCCGTCTCCTTTTCTCAGTGAGGTTCTTCTTGACAGCTACACATCCTTTCAGACCCACAGCGCTGAGTCGTCTTCTCACAGTGGAAGGATGGACAGAAACACCTGTGGATGTTTTCAGATCTGAAGCAGCTTGATTTTCTCTTCTCTCTCAAAGATGAAAGCTTTAAGTGCTGTTTATCTGATGGGGACAGTTTTGGTGTCTACCAGGTCTCCCAGGTGGTTGTTAGTCAAGTAGATTATCCTATATCTAATCTCCTCGGATGTATCTCCTGAAACAATGGCCATTTTGAGTGGTAATTAAATGAAGGATGGTCTCTGACTTTTGCACAGTACTGTACCAAATCTGGCACCAGACAAATGTACAAAACTAATATTTTATTGTTCCCTTAAAAAAAACAGTCGCTCATACAAAATCTTAAGCTGGAGATCCTGTACAAGTGCTATTAATTTAACATATACAGTCACCAGAAATGTCATAGATCTTCAAGTATGTTTTCTGCAGCATGCAACACTCTCAGTCACTCAGCACAAACATTTTCATCTGCTATTCAGTGCATAATAAGCCTACAGGGTTCAAAATGCAACAGTGCCCCAAAACAGATTATTACAGTGCAACTACATGATGTGTGGACACTTTGTGTTGGCAGCAGTGCTCTTTCCCAGTCTTTCCTTGTGAGTAAATATGCTCCTGCTCTTGAGGAGTCCCTGAGAGAAGCCATGACCTTGAGTAAGGGCAGAACCAGAGAGAGCATCAGGACATCGGGCAGCAGCCGGCCTCCTCGTGCTTGGACAGGAGGGAGATCCTGGAGAACGTTTTGGAGCAGCTCCTGCACTGGTACTTTTTAATGTCCGAATGTGTCTGCAGGTGAGCTCGCAGGTTGGAGCGGTCGGCGAACGCTCGGCTGCAGTGAGGACAGGAGAATGGCTTCTCACCTGACAAGATCAACAAGAGGTATGTCAGGTGTGCGGTAACGTTCAAACGTATCTCTCAGAAACATAGTGTGTATCTCAGTCCTACAAAATTGCAAGAAATATTCAGTATTAGTTGAACCTTAAACTGCAGGCTTGCTTTCAGTTATTCATCTGAACACCTTGAGCACAACAAGGTTTATAGAAATGGGGAACAGTGTTTATATTTCTTACATTAATGTAATAATGTGTTTTTTGTGTTTTTAAGTTAATATGTACTAAATGTACTAAAAGATTAACGGGTTTGTTGCTGTGATTATTTATTGCACAGATTGGGTTACAATATTATTCCTTCAGAAAAGATAAAAGTCCCATGTCATAGAAAATTTTTACTCACTTTTTTCAAATAAGAAAGTACGTAAGCATTGTTTAAGATTCAAAATAACTCTTTCATTCCCTGTTCCATACAGTCCATACATGAAATATATGAGAACTAAAACATTATAAATTCATTGTTTTTGTAAATTATTTTGACATGGATCCGTCTATCCACCCTACAGTGGGTTTGCTCCGGCCATTCACATTGAAGTTATAAGGAGTGTTTCAGCCGGGACTAGTTTGGGAATCAGACGCAATACACACAGCCAATCAGAACAGAGGTCATTTACATATATGTCATAAAGGCACAGTAACAAAATCAGCCAAGGGATAAAGTTTTTATATGTAATGTTTATGATGATAAAATAGTGATAAATCTAAAAAAACAAGTTTTCTTTGGGACTATTTGCCTCACAACACCCTGCATGTACCTCTTAACCATGAATGGATTCAAGTAAATTTTATTCCAAAACTTTGTCCAAAACTATCCTGAAACAATGTGTCAGACATCTGGCAGCGTATATCTAACCACTTCATGTAAAAACTTTCTGTCAGGGAGATTTTAGAGGTGGATGTGTTTATTGATTTACAGTAAGCTTAGATTACCAATTTTTCATTTTGAGGTGGGTGATATGTGGGGTCTCTACACTAACTGTCCTAGTATATTAACGATACAGTTTTCGGCTATGCGCTTTGGAAAACTAATAAAAATTCTGAGAGTGAGAAACGAGCCAAGACATCAGAGCATCACTCGCCAGAATTTGAAAAGTGCTGCCCTGTCAAAATAACTTTGTGGTAAAGTTTAGTTGAGTCTCTCGTGGCATGAAGATCAAAAATTCTCTCTCCCTCTCTCTCTCTCTCTCTCTCTCTCACACTCAGAAACTCTCCCTGACTGCCTTTTGTCATCATTTACATGCGTATTCAACTGTATGAGAAACTATTTAGTTGTTTAACTTTCAAGTAAAAATAAATGTTCTGATTCTGTAATAATAAGAATGATTACCAGAGGAAAATCAAAACAACTTGTAAAACTAGAAGTCTAGCAAAACTCAACCCATGAAGCATTGACTTGGCCCCCCTCCTACATTGTTTCCCAACTTCCCCACAAAATTGGACACATATGGTACTAATATAAAATATATTACGCTACAGATGAGCCTGAGGAATTTGAGTGTTGTCCCTTATATGGGACTGGGCATCTAGCATTAGCTACATCAGTGTCCACCATACACTATATGCCCAAAACTATCCATCCAAACTATCCGTTGCTGACACAGGTGTTGTCAGTCGCTCATTTTTGAGATTATCACGCCCAATGTCAAGTGTTGGCTAGAGGGGGCTTTGCGCTGAGAACCAGTGGAGCTACATCACTTTTCTGGAGTGATGTAGCTCCATCTAATACATGTGTGGTCCAGAACTAATTTTCCAGCAGCAGCTGACCACTAATGCTCTTGTTGCTGCAATCAGATCCTCACAGCAATGTTCCAACATCGATAGTAAAGCCTTCCCATATAAGTAGAGGCTGTGCAAAGGGGGACAAACTCCCGTAATACTGTTTATTTCAGAAGAAACGTTTGGACATTTTGGAGTTTTTTAAAAGTCAAGATCAATGGGCCTCATTCACCAACCATGTTTAAGAGGAAACTCCTTCTTAAAACCCACTTATGATATGGAGCCCTGCTGGTGACATCCTGTATGAATGGCCACAACTGAATAAGGCGTGGGAATGAGATCCTAATGAGTGGCCACGACTTAGTAAGGCATGATCTAGTTCTCACGCTTTACTAAGTCATGGCCTCGACTTAATTACCTCATTCCCCTGCCTTAGTAGGTTGTGGCCACGCATTACTTTAATTTACATAGGATGTCACCAGCAGGGCTCTGTACTTACGCAGGTTTTGTGAAGATTCTGACATTCAGTAATGTTTTCTTATTTTGGATTTGTTCTTAGGTAAGAACAGAATCTAGACTCACTCAAGAGCACAAAGGTGTGAACAATTCTGCGGTTTAACCTCTTAAAAGCCATGGGCCCAAAATTTTATTACACACTTCTATAACCTAAGAATAGCTCCACCAGTTTGCATTGAAATCTCTGTAGTTAGTGAATAATAAGCCTTAGTATGTAATAAGCCTGGGATTTTAAGGGGTTAAGCTTGTAGGTATATTTCGCTTTGTCCATCTGAATTTACATGCCCAAATCGTGAGGCAAATTATTCAGTAACTGAAATAACTGTAATTGTAAAAGCTCCCCTCAAATTAACAGAACGTGTGTTTTATGATCATACACATATTGCTATATGCTTACAATTTACCGATGAAAGCCAAAAATCTTAGACACTCTTTGTATTATTTTATAAAAATAATTTTTACAGAGCAGATCACTGAAGAGACGCCATCTGTTTATAGTTTATAGCCCAGATTTGTGGAAAAATGGGTTGAATTCCAGTAGAAAAAAAAATTGTGAGTTCAGCTTCTTTTATTATAAGGGTTTAAAATTACTTCACCCATCTATTTGACTGGAAAGAAGACAGTTACAGCTCTCATATGACCCCCACCTTTTGAATGTAGCTTATGAGATATGAAAGTTATGAAGTTAAGAATATGATGAAGTGTGTTTTGGAACCACCGGTGGTCCCAAGGAGTTAAAGAGGTTAAGACTTTTTCTTAGGACCGTTCTCAAGAAAACATTTAAGAAAACACTTATGAAGATGTTATAATAGCAAGATAATAGCTGCATAAACCTCCATCCTCTTTTTACGTACCTGTGTGTGTGCGAATGTGTCCCTGCAAAAGCCAGGGCCTGGAGAAGGCCTTCCCGCACAGCTTGCACACACAGGGCAGCGTGTGTGTGCGGATGTGCATCTTCAGGGCTCCCAGGCTCACGTACTCCTTGTCGCAGTACTTGCAGCTGAAGTATTTTTGACACTGCCACTCGCACTGAAGCTGTCTGTGCTTGGCCAGGCCTGAGAAGGTGAAGTAGGCTTTGTGGCAGTCAAAACACTCAAAGCGCTCCTGGCTGCTGCCTGTGGAGGCGAGTCCTAACAAGGACATGGTGACACTGGGTGCCCCGCTGTCCTCCACATGTTTCATGCTGTGACTGTGTTCCAGCGGCTGCGGTCCTGCGGCCTCCGGCAGGGTAAGGGTGGGCTGTGAGTTTCTGAAAGGGTTATGATTCACTGGAAGGGGGTAAGTGTGGCCCAGAGCTGGGCCGTCCCCTGGAAGACTGGGGTCCTGTGAAGGCTGTGGGTGAATCACTGGATTAGCTGAGTTCATCTGCAGTGTGGTGATTACAGTTGAGTTCATGAGGCACGGTCCAGGCAGCAGGGTGTTATTTGGATGCGGAAAGTTGGATTTGGAGCATGATGTCTGCATGTGGATCAGCTGTGTTTGGGCATCTGTAAAGTACATGGTGAAGTACATGACCATTTATTCTGTTGCAAGTACTCAGGTGACGCTTAGTTCATTTTACTCTGTTACATGTGCTCTACTTGAGTACTCTGGGTTTCTGTGAAGCAACCAACACACTGCAAAAAATGGTGTCTTGTCAAGTAAAAATATCTTAAATTTAGTCAATAAATTTAACATTTCTCCTGTTGAGATTGTTGGAAGCTTAATTTAAGATTATTTAATTAATTTCTAGGCATTTTGTACTTGTTTTATGTGATTTTATTAAGTAAATTTATTTCACTATAATGGCAAATAATTGTGCTTGTTTCAAGAAACCAGCATAACTATCTGCCAGTATAGTTAGGAAAATTTTACTTAATAAAATTACTCAAAACAAGTGAAAAATGTCCAGAAATAAGCTAGATAATCTTATAATAAGTGCACAACCATCTCAAAATGGGAAATATTATACATACTGACTAGATTTAAGATCATTTTACTTGACAAGATGCCATTTTTTGCAGTGCATGATTTACATTTCCTGAAATTTCAATATTTCAGAGCTTTTTTTCAGATAATCTTGATAAGAAAATACTGTGCTAATTATTGTAATTTCACACAGGCCTACTCAGTGCAAACAAAAGTTTGAGAGCTCTTTATTTGACTTCTTTTCCTCATCTTTCTATAATATTTGACTGCAGAAATATGCTACTTGTTTTGTATACTAGTAGTTTCAGCACATAATTTCAATCTAAAATATTGGATACTCATTTTGCTTGGAGTTATTGTGTTCACGTTTCTGAGAGGTACTCTTAAATTTCAGTCAGTTTCTCTCTTGTTTTTATCAGAAACTAATCAGGCTACATTCAAAAGCACTTGAAACCTTCCAATCATCAGAAGTTCCACAGTTTTACTGCAACCACCCCCTCCCCCAACAATAAAAACGCAAATATTGCTGTAAATATTGAGAAAACGCTGCAAAACAAGCTTTTTGGCCTGCAAAGGTCACAAAAAAGGCTGTGAGATCCTAGTAGGACTGTTTTATAGTACACTCAAAAAGTGATGTGTTAAAAAACAACACACTAACTTGTGTTATCCATTTTAACACTGTTTTGTGTCATATATTTTATGCTTAAAGTAACCCAAAATGCATTATCCATAACTGTGTATCAAAATATTTCTCCGACTAAACACACTGATGTATCTAGTTAGACACAGAATGTTTTGTTTTTAAGACATATGTCAGAAGAGTGTATTAGAACCAAACACATTTAGGAAGATGAAGTGTAGGTCAACTGTACAGGGTGATTCAAAAAGATTCATCTGATTTCAAAGCACTATATTTTTACAACCGTGAGGCACCTAGGAACCAATCACATACCAATTGAAGAGGGGGGGGGGCTGTGAGATCCTAGTAGAGGATAGAAAGCGTTCTGTGTTCTCCGCTTCAATAAGAGTGAATCCGTCATAACTGTGCAGTGTGATTTTCGTGGGCAGTGAACCTCCAACAGCTCAGAGCGTTCGTTGTTCGTTCCACAACACTGGATGATCTCCGAAATCGCACTGAAAGAGCCGTGAGTGCAGCGGCACCCGACATGCTCAATCCAGTACAGGATGAATTTGACTATGGCGTTGATGTTGTCTGTACAGCTGGAGGAGGTTCATACTGAGACCTTGTAAAATTACATAAACTTTATGCTCATTTAAACCATTTACAGTTCACTGCACTGTTCTGTAATGATTTACAAGTGAAATAAATCATTTTGAAACTGGATGAATCTTTTTAAATCACCCTGTACATTTGTCACATTACATCAGTACATTATTAACAAACTTAGCAATTCCAACCATAAAGTATTTACAAACTTAACTGACTTCAATTCTACGTGAATGTTTGCTGTTGGTCAATGAAACATGTGACATGGGATGCATTTTAAAGTAATATTTAAACCTGTAGTAGCATTTCCATTGTTAGTGATGGAGAGATGTAGACAAAACTGAGAGAACACCCCAACACACACACACACACACACACACACACATTTTCCTCTTAATTCCAGATCAATTCATTCAGTTTCTTCTGTCTGAATAGTAGGCATGTCCTTTTCTCGGAGGAGGTTAAGGGGCTCGTTTGCTTAAGAGAAAGTATGTGAACAAAACGACAGATTTCAGGAGGATTGTGGGGTGAAAGGAGCCTCGGAGGGGCACTACTGCCCCCTTCACGCGCTTAATAGGACCCTTGAGAGGGCCAGAGCGAGCTTTCACAATAAGCTTGTGCTTTGGGAGAGTTTGCGCACCTGCTTAGCTCCAGCAGCCTTCACAGTTTACTCTGCTTCTCTCATTACTGAGCTGTCTCCATATCTCCAGCGTGGAGCATCAGCAAGCCATAAGCAGTGCTAACCCCAGGCGCTGCTTGGCGCATACATGAACAGAGTGGTTTAAAGAAACAGGCAGCTGAACGAATGCTGAAATTTCAGTAAGTGTCATCCTTCAAAATGCAGTCTGAAGAGGTGATATGCTACATCCGACCAATACTACAATGTTTAAGCATAAACTTTTCTGGACCTCAGGTTGACATATTTGTCCATGATGACTTTAAAGGCTGCAGTTACAGCTTAAACAGTTCACGGATGTTTGGGTCATGGTCCTCTTTGAAGTTGTGACAGGAGTCTCGAAATAACTCACCTTGTTTCTTTGAGTCCAGCATGCTGTAGTTCGGTTTCTTGTGACTGAGGTGTTTTTTCACCAAGAAAGATCGTGGCATCTTAAAAAGTGGACTTTTTAAAGTGTGAACGGAGTTTCTGTCAGTCTCTCTGCCCGGCTCTGCGACTTCCAGACCGAGCGCGCTCATGTGCAGATCTGGCCGGTGTAATAAATAGCAGATGCTTGAAAGCTGCTGGAGAGGGAGTCAGGTGCAGGGGGGTGGAGGAAAATTAGCATAAACATCCCATTCGACCAATCAGAATGAATGGGCAGAAGGGAGGAGGTGTGGCCACACAGCTTGCTGCATACCCCAACAAAACAGGTGCATGCATGGGATCAAAATGGTAGCATTGTGCCACATGTGTGGCATGTCGTGGTATTTTCAGAACAGCTACTTTGTTTTTTTGTTTTTTTTTATTGTGTCATCAATAAAAATAATTGTGCTCATCAATAAAACACAGTACTGTGCAAAAGTCTGACGTAAAGCTGGGCATTAAGCATTTATTTCATATGTAAAACAATAAAAATAATGTTAGAATAAATACAAATCTTTTAGCTTAACTTTTAAACAAGTTGTACTCATCGGCTGGAGCAGTGAGACGTCTACTAACCAAGACATTAATAACATTTTAAAAACAAACGATTATTGTTACTTTTGACTTTATTTATGTTGAATTCATGTGTTCTAATACTATGTATGTTTTTTTAATGTTTATTTTCATTTTCAAATTAGTAACAAATAACATCAAAAGTGCTAGATCTAGTGGGTTAGATCTTACAGAGGAAAATAAAATAAAATAAAATATATATATATATATATATGTAAGTGTATGTTTAAAAGCTAAAACCCTGCATTGTAAGTACATTATATATATATATATATATTATATATATATATATATATATATATATATATATATATATATAATGTACTTACAATGCAGGGTTTTAGCTTTTAAACATACACTTACATACAACAACAGGTATGTCACAAGTTGAACCAGGTTAGTCTTGGTTTTTTCAGGTTTTTTTCAGGTTAGTCTTGTTTTTTTCTTTTCGAAATAGGCGAACAAGGACCCTATATATCAAACTGCTCTAACTGTTCATTGTTTAAAAATCACAGCTTCTCCAAATGCAATACATTGATTAGTTCCTTTGTCCACATTTCATATGTTGGTACTGCCTCTTGTTTCCACATCTGTAGTATATATTTTTTTGTAATAGCCATACTAAAAAGAATGGCCTGTCGTTCATGTTTGTCCACAGTTACTGAGTCCTTAGTTGTTCCCAACACAGCCCAAAGTGGATTAGGTTTCCAGTTCCTTCCAAATGCTTTTGACAGGCAATACTATGTATTGTTTATACTGGCAAAACTCACTAACTGATGAGATAATTGTGTTCATTTTCTGTAAGACTTTTTCACAGTACTGTATTCTGAATCTGAGCTTGTTATAACAGACAGCTGCCAATGTTTAGTTTGGCTTATAATCCTAAGGCCTACTCCTAAATTGCTCCCTGTTGGATGTAGTTACACTATTTGGATATAGGAGTCATTATTTTATCATCTATATGATATAGTGCACAAAATTTGATTCAGGAGCTATTTGAGATTTGTTCTTAGTCTTACTTGACTAAATTAACAAACCCAAAGTAATACCAGATGCATAAAATGTTGTGCTCAGTGATCTCAAAACAATGTGACTGAGTAGTTTTTCAGAGCTGGGTGAAGCAGAAGCTGAAGTGGCTGAGAAGAGGCTCTGGTTCCTTTTCTTCTCTGTTTCTGTCCGCATGTTACTCATTTGGTCCATGGAAACCATATTGTATTGTGAGGAGTTTCTCTCCCAAAGACGAGGCAAAGTGTCCTGTTGAAATGTCCGTCTGAAAAGGGCAACTCCGAGGTGGTGCTGAATTGGGTTAACAAAACATGAACTGGAACTGGAACGATTTACATCTGAATAGGCTGGATATGTTCAAATAAGTGAAAGGATTATTTTTTATGCCAAATAACCAATTCTTTAAATGCATCCCCAAAATAACAGCAGAGTTTTCATAAGTACTGAGATAGTGAACTTATTTACTTATTTATTTATTTATTTATTTACCTACCTTTTCTCAAAGCCATGAAAAGTCACATACACTAAAACAGTATTTTGCCACTTTCTTTGCTATGTTATATATTTAAAAGCTCTGTAAAAACAATCTACATATATTATTAGAAATTTTTGAACTACTTTGAAATATTACTCAGTGTTTCAGATATTATGCCATGTTATCTGTAGAGTAATATTTCACATACTTAAGGTTAATATATTACATAGGCTGTAAAATAATTAGATATAAGTGCTAGACTTGGTTCTCCCTCTTATTTATATGTAAATTAGCCTGGCACCATTACAATAAAATGAGGTGTCCGGGACAGTCCACTTAATAAAAATATGTAAAATGACTGACTACAATATCAGCCTGCCTCAACATTTTCTGGATACCGTGAGGGACCCACAGTTATTCATCCTGATTTTGGCATGCAAGCAGATTAAAACACTGTGACATCACCCAGAACCGTGGGGTACAAGGTATTTTGGTGCCACCTAGTGATGCAAAAGTTGCTTACACTGATGGACGGCCTCTAAAGAACGTGTAAAGGCAGCTGGTCACTAACCCCTCTTTCTTCAGTCTTAGCTGTAATAAACTACACTTGGTCAACACCCTGCTTAGCTGAAACCTGATTAAACCTGCAAGATGGTACATCTCTGGGAGGATGGTTGGTCACCAATGGCCTAAAGTGGTACAGTGGACACAGATGTCACATGAGTAGCATGATGCAGCCAAGAAGACATCCTCTAGGAATCGTCTCGCAGACTGGGACTCATGTTGTTACAAGGTCTGGGCTGTTGAGCTGTCCCAGATAGTGAGCATATATCTGTTTGCCACTGCTGATCCACCCTCGGCCCACCCAGATTATTGTCCTGCATACAAGCTCTAACCAGTATTTAATCTCCTCAAACTGATTTTAAATGCACCTAGACTTTTATTTTAGAAATTGAACTGAGACAAATATTATAAACAACTGAGAGAAAAAAATAATGACCAGGCCTGATATAAAACTATTTTTTAGAAAATGTTTTAGAAAATCTCCTCAAACAGATTTTAAATGCACACAGACTTTTATTTTAGAAAATAAACTAAGATATTATATTGTTGCTGTCAGAACAAAATCTTGTAATGTAAGTCAATGGAACCAGAATTTTTTCCAAGTAATTTTGGGCCATTTTTCTTGGTCCATTCTTCATGAAATTTTCACACAATGTAAAGAATAGCAGGCATTGTCAAATTATGTCAAAAACTCCAAAACGACAAAAATGGAGATACAAGGTTTTCTTACGACAGCAGCGATATATTGCAAATATTACAAACAACTGAGAGAAAAAATAAAATGACTAGACCAAATATGAACATATTTTATAGGAAATGTTGTTACAGACACTGTGCTAGATAAGAATTTAGATAACTAATTTAAAAGTATAACTAAAGAAAGGAAGGAAGGAAAAAATTGGACTGTGAGGGGAAAATGAGCGATGATAAGTGGAATTTTGTCTAATATTCTGCTTAACTACCGGGGGGCTGCCTGTAAAATGCTGAGCAAAACCCCACTGGTCCGCCAGCATTGCCATCAGCTATCGGCAGGGATATTGGACCCGAACTGTTTTTTTTTCTTTTTTTCCATAGCCTTTTTTTCTGAGGTTATAGAATATATACGGTTCACTTCTATTATATTTTGAAAGAACTAATATGCTAAAACAAAATGGATGCAGTCATATAATCACACACCATAAGAATAAATGGACTAATCCTTGCTAGCTTGTTGAACAGCTAGTAGCACTATAGGCAGGCAATTGTTTTCATTTGGTTAGGTTTAAAATTAGCTAACATAAGGCTTGTTTTATAGGAAAAACCCAAAGATACGGGTTTTCTTTATTACTTTCTTCTAACTACCTAAAGTTAATTGTTAGCCAGTGTTTTTCAGTTTCAGTTCATCATCACAACCTCACATTGAATCATTCTTTCTTTTTCAGACACACATTAGACACGTTTCAAGGCTGCAAAGAGCGCTAGCAGGAGAATACATGTACGTAGCCAGAAGGTTTTCAGTGGCATGACCAGATTAGTTTCAGCGATTTCATTGGGGTGGCAAACTCCTAGGAATAAAAAAAGGTGTGAGGTAACATCATAAGAGAATAATATTTGAATGAGCAACATGCTAACCTACTGTAGCATTAGCAGGAACTCAGCACTGGTTTCACCTCTGATGAAATCTGGCCTGCATCATCAAACACATGCATGTACTCGGCTGTAAAAGAGTATTTACCCTGATAGCAAGAGGATAGTGGGCCACTTTTGGCCCACTGAAGGCAATGCTGGTGGACCAGTGGTGTTTTGCTCAGCGTGTTACAAGCAGCCCACCAGTAGTTAAGCAGAATATTAGATAAAATTCCACTTATCATCGCTCACTTTCTACTCACAGTCTAATTTACTTCTTTTTCCTTCCTTCCTTTCCTTAGTTATAGTTTGTAAATTAGTTTAATAAATAATTTTAATCTAGCACAGTATTGGCAACAACATTTTCTAAAAAATAATTTTATATCAGGCCTAGTCATTATTTTTTTCACTCAGTCGTTTGTAATATTCGTCTCAGTTCAATTTCTAAAGTAAAAGTCTAGGTGCATTAAAAATCTGTTTGAGGAGATTAAAAACTGGTTAGAGCTTGTATGTAGGACAATAATCTGGGTGGCCCGAGGGTGGGCCAGCAGTGGCAGTCAGCAGGGTGCCGACCTGATCAAGCCAGCGGACTGATATATTGAGCTAATGTGATAAATGATCATAAACGTTTGGGTTATCTTACCATACAATGTACATGTAGCCTGTTTCATACTGTAGCTGCAAAGTAGCACTACTAAAGGGTGCAGGCCAAATTATTATTCATTACAGTTTTGTTCGGAATAATACTGTATGCTTTTTTTCAAGTCTCCGCTGAACACTTAAAATCCTGTTACAGTAATGTTACAGTAATTCACATAGACCACAATGTGTAACAAATGATATAGTTATACACTGATGTATAGATTTATTTAGGTGGTTTTAAACATTTTCTTAATGTAGAAAGTCAATGTTAGCTGCTTCCTTAAGCAAAATGAACAAGACTAAGAAAAGTTTTAGCAGCATTCACTCTCGTCTGAAATGTGCTGATTATTGAGTGCAGCTTCAGGTTATAACTGACTAGTAACCACGCTGATGGCAGATTTCCACGGTAAAAACTTTCACGCAGTGTAGCAGAACTTCTCTGTGGTGACTGCTTCAATGATGATGGCTGACTGTTGCACATTGTTTAACTGGGGTGCCACCCTCTCATGAAGCATGGTCGTCTCTGGCCACCCCTTGGAGAACATCAATTTGAAAAAGTGATTATAGACTAGGACTCCATGTTATTATTTCTGTGATATATAAATAGCGACAGGGTCTAGACACATTGCATTTTGACCCATCCCTGCATTCATCTATTTAGAAGGCCAGCAACTACACTGAAGGTGTATTTAAGGCACTACTTTAATGAAGCTCCACTGAAGGGATGCACACATTCTGTCTCAGTCTCGTAGGGTTATTTTTGCCCAACACCAACAGACTAAGAGCAAAACCAAAGTCTTTAATTAAGCCCTGACCTCTTCTGCAAATATACTCACCTGTCTGAGCAGCTTCAAAGTGTTTCTAGCAAAATACCACACAAAGCCAAAACACCAGGAGTGTAACAGTCAAAACAAACCTACTTAAGAGTCACCATACACCATAGCTGATTAAAGTGAGCCCACTTTCCCCTTTCTAATTGGAGGATTAGAGAGAATTACAAAAGAGACTAGTTTGCCTTAAAGAAAAATAGACAGAGATCAATGGAGAGCATTTATTTAATATAAAAAAAAACATCTGCATACGTAACTTACAAATGACTACATATAAATGTTAAAGTACACAGTACAGAAAAGAATAAGGGGAATTTCAGAATGGCTTGTTATATAAGAACAGCTAGAACAAACAGAGGTGCTTCACAAAATTTTCATAAAGTATTAACTGATTGCTTTGATTATTAACTCTGTACCACAGGGCTTTGAAAACCATATGCCAAAGATCAGCTTTTAATTAATTTAAGGAAAAAAATGCCAATATTGCTGTTCCAGTATTCAACATGACAAGCCAAAACAAGGTCACGTGGCAATAATTATAAAACTGTCCCATATTTACACTTATCCATTCATTCATCCTCTTCATGCCAAAGTAGAACTGAATCTAAAGTAGCTCGTCTTCTCCTCCCCCGTACATGTCAGCGAGCTTCTTGAAGCGTGGGCCCCACTCACTCAGGCAGTTGTAGTCCTGGTCCCCAGAGCTGGAGGAGTTCAGGGAGCTGAGAGAGCCAGCGTCTGATCCACCCCCCTCGTGGTCAAACACCAGCAGGCAGTCGTAGGGAGGAGCCGTGGGGTCGTTGTCTGCCACCCTCAGATTCTACAGCACATGTATGTAACCGTAAGTGCTACGTATTCATTTCACTATTGGCTAAATCTACATACTTTTTAGTTCTGAAAAAAGCGTCATGAATTGTGACTGAAAACCAATACTTTTTTTATGTACGTCTAAATTTAGCCATTTTGCAGAAGGAAGGGAAAAAAAATATACAAGTGCAGCTCGTTACACCACTTACATCATCAATGAAAGTGCCAATCCCCTCAGGGTTGGCGGGGCGAGGCCGGTACTGGGGTGCAGGCATAAAGGTTGGAGCCACGTCATTACGAAACACATCGGGACGGTTGTCGAGGCCCCTGTGCAGCACACTCAAGTCATAGTCCTGTGCAAATGGAAATCTATTATAAGAACATGATGGCAACCAACTGTGGCTAAACAAATATCCATCCAATGAGCCAACCTGATCATCTTCTCCACCACCCTCTTCATCATAGCAGTAGACATTGTCCCTGATATCGTCATCAGCAAGCAGAGGCTCTTTTTTCACTCTCCTCTTCCTCCTTACAAACAGGAGCAGCAGGAGGAGCAGCACTGCATGGAGAAGCACATTGCACACCAAAATCAAGAGCAAATCCAGTCTTCTTAAAATTGTATATCACATACACACATACTCAAAATTATTTAACCCCCTTAAATCATCGGATTTGTGTGGATTACAAATGACATTATTTTGTACTGTGACTGACTAAACCTCAAACTTTTTAGGTAAGAATATATCGAGACAAAAATTACTATGCTGTTATGCATAAGAATTCAACCCTTGTGCACAGATGAAAGAGTTACTGAAAGAGTTAAGAGTTTCAATTGGCCTCTACCTGTAAATGATTAAAAACCTTTAACCTTTTAACCTTTTTTGCCACCCTTTCTGAAAAAAAAAAACCTTAATTCCAGTACCACTGGTCTGACTGTGAATCTGAAGGAAAGTTGTTACAGACACAGACATGCACAAGAGCTAAAAATAAAAGCTACAAAAATAATGTTCAAGTATTTGCATATCCCAGTGAGCACTGTTGGATCAGATGTAAAGAAATGTAAGCTGCATCATGCCACCCAGGCACTGCCTGGACAAGGGAGTCCTTCAAAACTCAGAGTCAGAGAGCCACAGAGGGGCCAACAAACACCCTGAAGACACTACAGAGTTCACTGGCTGAGATTTCGGTGAAGTTACACCAATGAACATATGATAAAAGAGCTCTGCATACAACTAATCTGTATAGGAAGGTCGCTAGAAATAAGCCTTTACTGAAGGAAAACCATGTCAGAGTATATCCAGAGTTTGCCTGACAGCAACAGAGCGACCCAGCTAAAACGTATAAGGTTTTTTGGTCAGGTGAGACAGAAATGGAGCTTTTTTTCCAAAATTAAAGATGCTATGTATATTGTAAATCAAACACTGCCCATTCCTCAACAAACTCCATCCCAAAAGTGAAGTATGCAGGTGGTAGCATCATGTCGTGGCGCTTTTTTCTCAGCAGGGACTTTGCATTTTGCTAAAACTGAAGGACGTATGGATGATGCAAAATACAGAGAGGTATTGCTTCAGTCTGATAAAATGCTAAAGCTTGGGAGAAACTTCACCTTTCAGCAGGATAGTGATCTCAAGCACAAGGACAAAGCAAAAGAGGAGTGGCTGGACAACAAAAAGGTGTAATGTTCTACACTGACCAAGATCTCAATCCAACTGAGAATCAGTGGCACTGTTTGAATATTACAGCCCACAAAGCTGGAGCAAACATACCCGAACAGACTTAAAGTTGTTATTGCAGCAAAAGGTGGATTTTACCAAGTACTGGTTTGCCATATATACACACAATGTGTGTAATTTTCATTAGTCTGGATCATTGTCAGTACTGCGGTAACACTGACGTGGTGGCGTGTTAGTATGAGTTGCGCTGGTACGAGCGGATCAGACACAGCAGTGCTGCTGGAGTTTTTAAACACCTCAGTGTCACTGCTGGACTGAAAATAGTCCACCAACCAAAAATATCCAGCCATCAGCGTCCTGTGGGCAGCGTCCTGTGACCACTGATGAAGGACTAGAGGATGAGTAAAACTGCAGCAACAGATGAGCTATCGTCTCTGACATCTACAAGGTGGAACATCAAGGTAGGAGTGTGACAGTGAGTGGACACAGTGTTTAAAAACTCCAGCTCTGTCTGCTGCGTCTGATCCGCTCGTACCAGCGCAACACACACTAACATGTCCACACGTTAACGTGTCCAAGACCATGTCAGTGTAACTGCACTATTATGTATGTGTGGTGACACATACATAGTAGTGCATAAATCAATCAATCAATCAATTAATGAAGTGGAACAGAGCATCTTACCTAGCAGAGCCAAGATAGCACCAAGAATTCCTAGGATCCCAATCAGCTTGAACTCTGCCACCTTCTCGCATTGAACATTGTCTCCTTTGCAGTCACATACCAAAGCTTTGATGGTGCTGTCGTTGAAGTGGTTCCCAGCGTCATATACCCTCATAACAACATTGTAGCGTCCCTGTTCCAGTGCAGTCTTAAGTCCAAATGTGATGATTTCAGGTTCTGCATTGAATTAAACAGACATATAGACGAGGAAGAGTGACATTTGTTATGCAGTTCACATAAGCTATATATCCATGCAAAGGATTTTTTTATGAACAATTTCCTAATGCTCAAAAAAACTGGTAATGGTGACTATGGAAACAGAAACTGACATTATTTTATAAATATCAACAAAACTTTTTTCCCATTCAAATTTAGCACATAAAAATTGTTAGTTGATACCTAAAATGCTGTAAAAATCTACATTGACAATGCCCCTCCCCATCCAAAATAACTGTCATGTGATATCTCTTATGTCTTTACATAAAACATTTCTATTGCAAAGGTCAGTTAGATAGAACCCACCCCCTACCACCCTCCCCACCCCCCGCCCCCCCCACACACACAAAAATAGGCCGTACTTGTCTCATTCATCGTGGCAGTCCAGTCGTTCTTGCTGTCACCCAGGAGTTCCACTCTGTATGGAGCAGCAAAGCCTGGTCCATCCTTATCAGTCACAGACAGCAGCACTGGAGCTGACTGCTTATTGCACACTGTGATCTCTCTTTCCTCAATGGAAGGAGCGTTATCATTCACATCCTTCAACTCAATCACAAGGGTTCCTGTACCAGTTGCTGGAACTGGATCTGCAAACATTAACAAGCCTGTTAGAAGAAGCTACACCACTAAACATTTCCTTCTAATAGAGCATGAAAAAAAGGGACTACCATCATCCATGGCAAGAATCAGAGCTTTGTATGTGCCATCTTGCACAAAAGGAGACTCTCTGTCCATGGGGCTCCTCACTTTGACCAGTCCAGTCTCTCCATCAACACTCAGCCACTTAGCACGATCAGAACCTACACGATACCTGCAAAACAAAACATGATACCAAATTACTACCTCAGGGCTTATGTACCTGAGTGAAAGCACAACACCCAACACCACCACACAGTGTGTCCACGTAGTAACACAGAACGATATCTTACGTCACTTTCTGATTCTTCGCTGTGTCTGGATCAGTGGCGGTGTACACTGTTAGTTCACTACCAACCACCAAGTCTTCAGGTTTAGAAATGATTTTCTCCTCTGGGTCAAAAACTGGAGCTTCATTAACATCCTGGACATTCACAATGACCGTGGCAGTGGAAGTGGTCAGAGGTTTGGCAAACGGAACATCGTTCTCCGCAACAACCAAGAGGGTGTATTTGTTAGTTTGCTCAAAATCCAGTGGCTGAAAAGACAACACAGAGCAAAAGTCAGTGAATACAAGAACTGAGACCCCCACAGCCACATGAAATGTGAAAAGAAACAGGGGACTGTGCTACCTTAACAGTAGTGATGATGCCCTCCTGTTTGTTTGGTCCTGTGCTAACAGCGAAAAATCCACCATTGTTGCCACTAACGATCCTGAACTTGGCTGTCCAGGCAGGAGACTGAGGGTCATCTCCATCAGTCACTGGCATCTTCACCACCACAGCTCCTACTTTATTCTCTGGGACAGACACGTTGTACTGAAAGACAAATCCTTGCATTATTCTACAATAAAAGTAACCACATTTCCTGGTTTGAACACACATGAACAGTAAATCAGATTGAATGCACTACAGTTACAACAACTAAATCAACGTAACTGATCATTTTTGGAAACAAATCCTAATTAGGGGCTTGAAGTTCTAGATCCGCTTTTTATGTGATTTATTAAAAAGAGGGAAAATACAAATTGAGTTTATAAAAAGTAAAAAATAAGATGACTTTAATATAATCCGATGGACTGGCGACCTGTCCAGGGTGTATCCTGCCTTCCACCCAATGACAGCTGGGATAGGCTCCAGCACCCCACCGCGACCCAGAAGGATAAGCGTTTTAGATGATGTATGTATGTATGTAATATAATCCCAAAAAGCTCCTGGGAAAACGCATGAAACTGAGCTCTTCTGGCAGGACAGCACAACTGTGTGTGAGCATCTTAAATAAAACACTAAATCCACAGCAGAAGCTCATCATTGTGAGTAACTAAGATAATAAAACCTTATTAAAAACCAGTAATACTGTGTCACTGCTTTTCAGAATGTTTTAATACGAAAGTACTGGCTAAAACAATCAGCTGTATTTTAGAATAGTTTGGTTAAGTTGTGCATTTTCAGAAACCCTTTGGGTTTTGGTTTGCCATCCAAACAAAAACAGATTTTTAAGTCACTGAAAACATCAGGTTTTATTAAAGTATTTCCAACCACATAGAAACTAAGCTTTGCTTTATTATTAGATGGAAATGAATGTTTTTTGGCTTCTGCATCTTTCACACTGATTAAAATGGCAATTTCAAAGTAATGTAAAAGATCGGTTTCCCTTCATAAAACCCCTTATAGTTATAAATATGCAGAAGTTTATAAAAATATGGTTTTATATTTAAAAGAGCACAGAAGTTGAAATAATGCTGGTATTTGTTTAAACAAAATTGTTTTTAATGTTAAATATTCATTGTTAACGATGACAACTTTCTTATTGGTTAACTGAAATCCCAGTGGACTGATTAACAGATTTTTAAAATAATCTGTAATTGCAGCTCTGAAATACACATTTCTAGACCAGATCAATAACCTGGTTAATATTTCAGGATTAAACACATTTAAATAAAAGGCATTCAGATCAGTTTATTGTAAATCGTACTCTCTGTAAGCCATGGTGTTTCATAACTGCCTTACCGAGGTCTTTTCAAACTGGGGTGCATTGTCGTTGCTGTCCGTTACAGTAATAACAGCTGTTCCAGTGACTACACGACCTTCACCCTGCATATCTCCAGCAGTAATCGTCAATGTGTATTCAGGATATTTCTGTAAGAGATGATGTTCATTACACTGATGTTCTGAAACTGCTTTCATTTATTACCTCATTCCACATCAACTCAACATTTATTAATCTGATATCTGCTCTCACCTCTCTGTCCAGTCCTGCAGCGTTCACCCTGATTGCTCCGGTAACAGCATTAATGACGAACATGTTTGGATCTGGCAGTTGTGGATTCTGACTGAGGATGGAGTATCTGACATCAGCATTGTCAGTGTTGGGGTCATCTGCATCAGTGGCTGTGACAGTCATGAACTCAAATCCTTTAAAAGGAGGAGAATGAAGTAAGACCACAGTAAATCACCACTACAGACCATGATAAATAGCAGGCATTTGCCTCATCAAACCCATCTGTGTGCTCATTATAGATACCTATTGGTGAAGCTTCTGGAACACTGCCATGAAAAGGGTCTTGGGTGAAGACAGGCGGATTATCATTCATATCAATAACACTGACAATAACGTCCATGGGCTGTTCCTGATCCTTACCATCAGATGTAACAGCACGGGCTTGAAGCTGAAGTTGGCAGAGAAAACAAATACAATTAAATGAATAATGCCTGGACTGATTTCTTGAGTTTTACTCAATTAAAGCTGGCCTATAATTTTTGGTCAATTAGAGACTTCTCTGCTGGAAGTGTGCAACTGAATGCAACATGTGGAAGAACATTTTGACACCCCCCACCCCCCACCCCCACGGTTATATAGTGCTGAGAGATATGCACATAATACGCTCTTTTCACGTAAATTATCCAAACAATACAAAGGAGAAAGAAAAAAAGAAATTCAACACTCCCAACTTGAAATGGTATCCCGCATCCCTGTTTAAACTTTAGCCACAAGATGAAAAAAAAAAAACAATAAAAATAATAATAATAATAATAATAATAATAATAGTAAAGTCATCCATAACCTATTGGTAACTTACACAAATATAAGAGGAAAACAACAAAAATACAGCCAAACTGGTATAATCCACAGAACTATGGTCTCTTACCACATATTTATCTTTGGCCTCTCTATCTAGGGGCCTTGTAACATAGAGTGAGCCATCGTTTCTATTTATGATGAAAAGTCCTTTTGGATCCAAGTCTGCTCCTTCACCAGAGATGCTGTACACCATCTTTCTTTCTTGCTTATCGTAATTGGATTTGATCTGGACACAAATAAGGTACTTGGTAAAAAAAAAAATACAATAGTTGTAAGGACTGCAGCTTAAATTAGAGATTAATTACACACCTGCACTATAAACTTGGGGAAAGGTCCACGGTCATTCTCGGGGACGTTTTGTACTGGAATCACCCAATCTCTCTTTCGCCTCCTTAACCCCCCTGAAGACTTTGGAAACTCCAGAACTGGGAGAGCCGAGGAAAATTCACTCTGAGGAACAAACATAACATGATTCTGTGATGATCCTCAGACATGATTGTGTTTTTCTCTTTAATTTGAGTTATGCAAATACAAGCAGACACTCTCCCATGTTAACTTAACAAAAAGGACCTACACCAAAAAACACACCCACACACACGAACATGTGACAACTTATTTTTCTTCATGAGTAAAAAGTTCCTCACATCTCAAAGCCTTTTGTTATTTTAATCATTGTCAAAAGCAATACCACCAGATCTCTTCAGCAGTATTCAGGGAGGGAATGTTCTCCACATCATTAAGACCAAAGTAACGCAGCCGTCACAATCTGAGGCACAAATCATGGGGTAGATCACAGCTCAGCTGCCCTCCATGTAACAAGGGTTCAGTTCCCTGTCAGTGCAAGCACACCCCGCTACACCAGTAAGAGTCCTTGGGCAAGACTCCTAATACTACATTCACCTCTGGATAAAAGTGTCTGCCTGATGTAAACGTAAAGGCGTGTATCATTAAATCATTAATGTCATTCAAAACTATTCCAAAGATGCAACACATGAAAACACAATTACCAATAAGACTGTCGATTCCACATACATCCACTAGAGGTCAGGCTAGCTTTAAGTATACCTGTGCAGGGCTGACTGCCTCAGTGTCTTCCTGCTGGTGATGGTGGTCAGTCTTGGCCTCATGTTCCACTCTTACAAACGCAGTGTGTTTCTTGCCCTTGGAGTCCCAAGCATGGACAGAGAACACGTTATGACCCTTGTGAAGAGTGACCTGTCTCTTCAGTATCACAGTGCCATCAGTGTCCACTTGAAACCGCTTGTCTGCAGAGTCAAAAACTGTCCTTGATCTTGCGCTGCAGTTGTTGAAAACAACTGGAATAAAAACGAAAGATAGAAACGTTAAAAGACAAGAACAAGATGATGTCTTGGGATGGTCAGAAAGCATGCACTCAGATAGAGATCTGGACCACCAACCTTTAGTTTGATAACATGTACAATACTTCTCATTTTTAGTCACATATTACTCTTATGTCAGTTAAAAAGTACCTTTATACAAGAGTCTCCAGGTAAAATCTGATTAGAATCTGATGGCCATGACACCATGAGGCAAAAGACACCATTACTTTGGCTTTAAGTGCCGTTTGAGAGCTTTGATACTGAAGTGGTGAGTAAAAATAACTGCTGATCATGAATAAGCTGCCATTGTGCTGGCAACTAAGATCATAGAGATAAATTAATCTGCTCTTTTACTGTAGTGATTCAATGGCTTCGGAAAACTCGTCAACTGAACATCCACGAGAAATAAATATTCCAAATAAGATAACTTCTTTAAAAGATTAAATCTTATTTCAAATTAGCAAGAGACTTGAGCAACCTTCTCCTATCTCTGAAATTCAGCTCTTACAAAGCAACTTTTTGATTCTCACACTTTAATCTATTTTTTTTTCATAGATAACTTATCTCACTGCAGTCTTAGCTAAATAATAATTAGATTTCAAAAGAGTAAGATCTCAGTTTTTTATATCCCTCATCTACATGTCAAAAATTTTTCAGCGGTCTGTGAGCGTAGATTGCTTTTCTCATTTGTCTCAAGAACTTCTTACAATTAAACACTTAGCTAACCTCTTTTTTCCAACAACAAAAAAGCCTTTCATAAGATCAACTTTCATAAGATCACTTTCTCAGGAGAAATAAAACAGATCTCAAGACTGTATTAATAAACAATCACTAATTTCTGAATTCTTTCTCTCGACTGGTTGAAAGAATATTTTATTTCTACAATATTAAAATCTTGCACCACTTATGTGTCTTTTTGCCTCATTTGCATCCACCCACTTCTCTCTCTCCCTGGCCTCTGCGACTGACCCAGCGCCCTCGCCCTCCACTGCTCACTTGGCGCCCCTGGTCTCCGCTACTGACTCGGACTTGATCCCTGTCTCTTGCCTTGACTTGTACACTGTCTCTGCTCCTTGCCCTGACCCAGATTTCGTCCCTGTTCAGGCTCTGTCCCCAGGCCTTGTCCTGACCTTGGCCCTGTCCCTCATCCTCATTCTGGGCAAGCTCCAATCTTCCCTTGCCCTGTGGACACCTAGTGGAGGCTCATCTTCCCTGGTGGATGTTGGCTGCTCATATGGATGTTGAAGCAGGTTCGCCCATCTCTGTTGACATCGAAGTAGATTTGCCTTCTGCAGCGGGCATTACGCTGTTATACGCCCATGTTAACTTAACAAAAAGGACCTACACCAAAAAACACACCCACGCACACGAACATGTGACTACTTATTTTTCTTCATGAGTAAAGTTCCTCACATCTCAAAGCCTTTTGTTATTTTAATCATTGCCAAAAGCAATACCACCAGATCTCTTCAGCAGTATTCAGGGAGGGAACGTTCTCCACATCATTAAGACCAAAGTAACGCAGCCGTCACAATCTGAGGCACAAATCATGGGGTAGATCACAGCTCAGCTGCCCTCCATGTAACAAGGGTTCAGTTCCCTGTCGGTGCAAGCACACCCCGCTACACCAGTAAGAGTCCTTGGGCAAGACTCCTAATACTACATTCACCTCTGGATAAAAGTGTCTGCCTGATGTAAACGTAAAGGCGTGTATCATTAAATCATTAATGTCATTCAAAACTATTCCAAAGATGCAACACATGAAAACACAATTACCAGTAAGACTGCCGATTCCACCTACATCCACTAGAGGTCAGGCTGGCTTTGGGTATACCTGTGCAGGGCTGACTGCCTCAGTGTCTTCCTGCTGGTGACGGTGGTCAGTCATGGCCTCACGTTCTACTCTTACAAACACAGTGTGTTTCTTGCCCTTGGAGCCCCAAGCATGGACAGAGAACACGTTATGATCCTCGTGTAGAGCGACCTGTCTCTTCAGTAACACAGTGCCATCAGCACACACACACACTCACATCATCTAAACCGCTTATCAGTGCCATCAGCAATTAATCCTAATTCCTAGTCGTTTGGTTTTCTTCTGATTTCCTGTTGCATATCTCAACCTTAAAGAAAACTTGCACATCCTGCTTCCATGGCTCTTCTGTTACAGATCAGATTTATTTTTTCCTGAGAAAGAAAGATTTTACTGAACGATAACTGGAACAAGCTTCTGTATGTCAGAGTGATTTGACACAGGGCTAGGCAGTATGACAATACTTACTTTTGTCATGATAAACTATGCCACAATATTTGAATTAGTGCAGCGCAGTGTGTGACATGTTGAATACAAATTATATTCATAGTTTTGAAAACATTTTTTAAATGTGGGACTACTGTTTTATTTTCAGATAAAATAAATATTGTGATGCCTATAAAGTATCATAAAAATGAAAAAACAAAGGTATCTCTGTGCCTCTATTTCTACATATTTTCAGACAAATTCACATAATGAAACAACTAAAAAAAAACAGCATTATGAACAAAACCCCATGATGTCAGGACAAACTTGCTTCAACATGCTTACTGGAGAAACCTTTGGCGGTGTGAAATACCTGAAGCTCATAGCTAAAGCTCACTTAAATACAGTCTGAGTGCTGCGTTAGTGCTGCCGTACCTCTGCCCAGCCGTCCGCCTCTGTGAAGCTGCTCTCTGTGCACTTTGAAAATGTACAGGTCGGAATCAAATCCAGGTGAACATGGTGGTGATCCCGCAAAGCCAGGCGAAAGTACCTTCATAATGGTGAAAATGGTCTTCATTTATCTCAAACACAGTGATTTATCTTAAAAACTAGACCTGTGATACAAGTTGTGAAGAGAGTGTATTTAGTTTGGGGTACCTTGTGTGTTTTTTGTCACCTATCTAAGTTTGGACTTTAATTTGAAAAGAAAGCAGAGCTGTTTGTCAGGATGGCCAATTAAAAAATAAAGGCCAATGTCATGGTGCACAGGTGAAACAAAATAACTTACCTGCAGTAAAACGATCAGAACTCCCAAGCCTACATTCCTTAAAAACTCCATGTGACAAACCTACTCAAGTGGAAGTCCCAAACGTGTTTGCCCTCTGACTGAAACTTCTCTTGGTGCTAAGATGAGAAAATATGTGCCAGCAGACAAAGTTAGCTAGTTTTAAAATAAACAGCGGACATTGCCTAACATACTGTTCAAGTATGGGCACAGGTCCTCTAGACTCCACCTACAAAGAGATGAATTACTCAAGAAACATCACAATAATGCTTCGCTCGACTGAGGTGTTAACCTGCAAAATTAAAACTTGTTTGTTAAAGTTTAGTCTGACTAGTTTAAATGTAATGTTCTCATCCAGCCATATGCCAAGGTACTTGTATCAGTAACCCTTTCAGTTCAGTTCAGTTCCTTTTTGGTTCACTTCAGTTCCTTCTGTTGTTGTTTTACACCCAGATATACTGAACATATAAAACAACAAACACAACATCAGCAACATCAACAAAAACACACAATACAACTCATACAGTAACCCTCGTGTGTTGTTCAGGTCTGTGGGACCCATTTTCAATGTTTACCAAAAGAAAAAGTGATGCATTTTATTATAATTTCAACCTCTGATTCTTGGCTTTGCTCATTTTCTGTGAAGAACATATAAAATAACCCATTTTCAGTGTCTTCACTCTGTTCACCCCCCACACATTTATATTACACATGTGGGTGTTGGGTGAACCTGCGGGGAGTAAAAGTGTGCTGTGTCCTTCACTCTGTTCTCCTCCTACATGGCCTGCTGTGTGTGTGTGTGTGTGTATGTGAGGGTGGACAACACGGACAGGCTGCTGACTGGCTACAGCTGCTAAAGGAGAACCCTACGCTGGCCACTTGTGATATTTTAAACATCTGGTATTTCTACATAAGTTGTTATGGCTGTATTGATTTAAAAAACCCATATTGCAGTGGGTCCACCAGACCACTGAGTAACAAACACATCAACACCACACAAGGGTTAAATCCAACAATATAAAAAATACATATCACAAACTGAATAATACTTTTTACCCTTAGGAGCCTAAATCTGTGTCCAGAAGTAAGAAGCTGAAACTCAAAATTAAGGGGATGGTCAGAAAAACTCAGTATCGATTTTGCTTTCTGAGTAATGTGACAGACGAATACAACATTTAAGGCTGAGCTTGAATAACACCATATTTTGTTTGCCACTTTAATAATGTTATTGAGACGATTTTATAGAAAATGTGTTCTTCTGTTGTTAGGCTTTTTACCCTTTTCAAAAAGGTTCTCTATAGGACCATATACAGCACATTCCCTGTAAATATGAAGAAACCTTTCATGATGCAAAGAGCTCTTTAATCATGCAAAGCTCTATACAGAACCATTTTCTTTAATAAAGTAATGCTGAAAACTGCTAAGAGTCTTTCTAACATTACAGTGATTGAAATCTCCCATTGTATATATCATTGATGTATATATTGAATAAGACCGGACCTAGAACTGAACCTTGAGGATCACAAGCCAGTAGAACAGATTTATGGTGTCCCAGGGCCACACACTGGTGCCTATCAGAAAGGTCATTTTGGGTCCAGTTTTTAGCTCTAGCATCAAAGCCAATATTTTGTATGCTTTTTAAAAGTAGTTAAGTCAACATATGTAATATTTATCACTTTGAGATTTTTGCAAGAATATTCAATTATTCAACCTATTTCTGAATATTTTTACTTGTTTTAGGTAATTTAAAGCAGCAAAAATATCTTATTCCACTGGCAGATAATTTTGCTTGCTTTAACATGATTTCTTGAATCAAAGAAAGTTCTCTTGAAACAAGCAAAAATATCTGCCAATGGAATAAAATCATTTTAATTTTGTGGTCTACAAGTAGCTTATATGTCTTATAAAATCAAATCTGTGTGTCATTATGCGACTGTTGTGTTTGAATTTTATAAGAATATTTAACCTGTTTTTACACATTTTCTTTGGTTTTAAGTAATTTTATCGTAGTAGATTATTTAGTTTGTTACAAGCACTACTTCAAAGTTATCAAAAAAAAAAATCAATGAATGGAGTAAAATAATTTCACTAGATAAAATGTTTACAATAAGTAAAAAGATCTAGAAATAGGCTAAATAATCTCTAATCTAATATTAGATATACTGGCTACCCTTTAAGGACCTGTGTTCTACATTTTTGTGTGTGTTTAAGGAAATCAGTCATAATTCATGTCTACATCACCGTTTACCAACTTCTCTTTATCCCTCAGAATTTAACAGGCTGTATTTGATTACTGTGATTAATGTATGTAAATGAAGCATCTTCTGATTGGCTGTATTATGCTTTGTTCAAAAAATGGTCCAGGCTGAAACACTCCTTATGACTTCATCATGAAGGGTGGGGCTATACTGCTGTATCGACTGAATATAGGATGTATGTAAATGAGTTGGATTTTGAAGAACTGTGAATTTAACATGGTCTGTTTTTGCAGTTTAGTTTCCACATATGGACTGTATTAACTGGGGAAAGAATAAAATGTGTTGAAACTTTGAAACGTACATTTATCAGTAAAGAGAAAAAGAATGGGCCCTTTAAGATAATTTCATTTGCTAAGGTTTCAGTTTACAGGATAGACCTGTGACGCTGTTTGTTGTGTCACAAACTAAACTCAGTGCTCAGCTTTGGTCTTTAAACCTGGATCCACGTAACACTTCAGTTCCCAGCAGATGCTGTTGGGCAACTTCCTCTGTAGCTTATTCATCACTCTGCTTCCAGTAATTCTGGTTGGTTATGAAGGTATTAAAGACGCAATAGTATGTTTGTGGTATTTTACATCCTGCTTTCATTCCCCGACACTACAAAACAAACTATCTGGACAACTTTGCTTTGCTCAACTACTCACCTGTTTCCTGTCTGTGACACCTGATCAGTACCTGTGATGAACTCACTGTCGTCATTTTGACAGTGACTCACTTCACTAGTGCAGTTGTTCTACAGTTGTATGCAAAAGTTTGAACACCCCAGTTCAAATAACATTGTTTTTTAAGCTACTAAGTGAAAATAAGTTAATACATCCTCTGAAGAGAACACAGTTAAATATATAATCTATATATATATATATATATATAAATATAAAATGTGCCATAACATTTGCATTTTATATCATTTTTCCCAGTATCATAAATTCTGCAAACAAACAATACAATTTACAATGCATAAAAGTGTGTTCTCTGTGGAGGATGTGTTCTTACTTTTACTTACAATATCAACATCCACAAAACATCATTTGACAAGGTGCCCAAACTTTTGCACTTTCGCATCTTATTCTCAGCGGGGCTGTGATACGCTTTTGCAGCTCTGATATGAGGGGTATTTGCAAATCCAAAACACTTCACAAAGTGCAATGAAACACAATACCACATAAAGGTAGATACTCAAACGCTTGATGCTCCCAGGAGAGTGTGATGCAACGCTGCATGGTCCGTGAACTTTATCTAGTCATAATGACATCATCAGTCCAGCTCAGTGTGCCCTAGACAGTTTCACTGCAATCATGATTAACACAGCTTCCAGATTTTTACATTCTTAAGCCACTGCCACACCCAACGTGAGTTAAATCTGCCTGGTGAGAAACACAATTCAGTTGAAAGTGAAAGGACACCAGAGCACAAGAACAGTGTTTGCGTTCATCTAGGTCAGAGGTCGGCAACGTGCAGCTCTTTTACTGCCCTGTTGCGGTTCCACAGCAGAATTAGATTTTTAGGTAAATGTCGAATGATCAGTAAAGCTTGACCTTAAACCCCTATAGGAGGGCGCACAGACTGCTGGTCATCACAGCAATGCAGACAACAATCTTGCCTAGCTAGTAGCTAATGAAATGGCAAAGAGAGAGATTTAAGACGAACATTGATAATTTGGTGACGAATAGACTTATTTGCTTTTATAATCACTCCAGCTGGTTTCCTGATACGTTTAATCTGCATCGAGAAACTGTCAAAGACTAAAAAGTCATGAAACTGAAGTCAGTTTCTCGTTCGAATTGTCCCGTTCCACCTTAAATGGTTCAGCAGTTACATTCTAGCACCTCAGGCCCCATTTAAGGTGGAACTGGAAAAAGCGAAAAATAAGCCATCGAATGAGAAGCTTCAGCCTCATGAAAAGTCGAACGTTAGTAAACATTTCACAAGAAACTATTCTACTTTTGTGGAAAGGCAGCTATAGCTGAGCTAAAGCTTAAAGCAAAGTAAGTCTCTGTTTTCGTTTATCTTATATTTTTAGCGTATACTGCGACATCAGCACATACTGAGAAATATTTACGGCCAAGATGGTAAAATGGACATAAAATATTGTGGCTTTCAAGGAGGTTTGATTTTTGTTGAAAGGACAAAATGGCTCTTCTTAACATTTGGGTTGCCGACCCCTGATCTAGGTGAACCTTAATCCTGCAAATCTGCAAACGTCTGAAGCATCAGCCAGTAGAAAAAAAGAGGGTGAGCTGCTGTGTCTTATTTCTGAAGAATACTAAACAAAGATACTACTTCCCAGTCAACACAGTGTCGCTTGTTACTCACAGTTGCAAAAAAAATTACTAGTTACTAATCTTACATTTATCAGTTTACCAAACTGTAAGATCACATCACATTGTAGATAAAATATGGATAAATGTGTATTTTTGTAAAGAAATACTCAGCTTTATAACAAATGCAGGGGCTTATGGTAATCAGCTTAAGACTTTTGCACACTACATATATTTTACAGAAAATCAC